ACACAGCTCTCCCCCTCAAAGCAAGGTCCCTAGCTCAACAGGAGGACTGGAAAGAAGCATCAGATAACTGAGAATTTAAAAGACAATGGCAATATTGCTATTGCTACTGTTGATGATCTTAGAAATTGACCAACTAACCATGGTCAAGATTAACACCCTGAAATCTCAAGGATACTCAAAAGACTTTGGAATGAACATGATTTTGTCTTCCTCTGTATTGAACACACTGCTCCTTTAACTTTGTACCTGTTTGTTTGTGAGGATCAGATTGATGACACAAAAGCTGTGTGGTTGAAAATACATCTTTACTATTTTTCTCAAAGTTAGCATGTATTAAATTTGTTCTTTCTTTCACTCGAGAGAAACTTGTGATTGATTCCTTATTGTTGTCAGTCAATATAGTTAAATTCAGTTTCACTGGAGTGAGTTATAACTACTTGATATAAAAGATTTAAGCCATTTTAATCAACTGTGGGGTTGAAAAGTGGGAAGCTGATTTACCCATCCTCATTGAACACATTGAATACATTGTTTGGAACTTTGGGGTGGAGAAAGGTCAAAACAATGGCACTTTGAAAAAGGAGGAAGGGAGACAAAGGCAGTGACCAAATGGTGGGAAGTGAATCAACGGACCCAGCACTGAACTTTCACAGCTATTGCCTCTGCTGTTTGATTTCAAGTATCTCTGGATGCTGGAGTTCATCTAGGAAAAATATGGAATGAGCTGCCAGAGGTAAGTGGTGGCGGTTGGCACAAACACAACATCTAAAAGGCATCTGGATGGGTATATGAACAGGAAGGGTTCTGAGGGATATGAGCCACATGCTGGCAAATGGGACTAGATTTGTCTGGGATATGTAGTCCGCATGGATGAGTTGGACTGAATGGTCTGTTTCCATGCTGTATATCTCTATGACTGTATTTGATCACCCAAAAGAACATACAAGATCAATCTTATCATGAGGATTAGTTACAACTGGTTTTGTTAAAATCATTGTGAGTGGTAATTGAAGTGTATTCAATATCAGTAAATACATCATGCACTCTCAGTAACTCATTTTGTTTTATTCATTCACCGGATGTGGACACCTCTGGCCAGGCCAGCATTTATTGCCCATAATGATTCACAGGTATTGATTGAATGTAGGACAACATAGCACACAGAATAACATTCTTTACCATTAGTAAATCATTGGCATTCTTTTTTTTACTGATTTGACAGATACAGTAATGCAAAATTATAACTCAACAGCATTGTTTAATGTAGAAATTTCTCAGTGGGAAGGAACTAAAGATTGAATGGAATGTAGGAATTATTAGTGTTGTGAGTATCAAAGGTATAACTCACAACTCTTACACTAGAAGATCAAGAGCAGGTTACCACTGAAGTTTAGGACCAGAACCATTACCCCTATTTCACTTATGGATCAGTCCAGCACCAAATTTAAAATTGTTATTCTGAATAAAACCACACATAACTTCATTATTAACCTATCGAGTCACTCTTGTGCCCAGCGGAGTAGCTAGGCATAATAGTGGTTCAAATGCCCAGCTTTCAAAAACAAAAGGGTGACTGTATTGATTAACAGAACATTTCTTCCATGCAGGCACCGTGTCAACCTCATGCTACCTGTGAAATTGTATGATGGTTTTATGCAGCTCGACCTAAACATACTGTTGAATGGCTCCACCCTTGAACAGGGACCCTGAGTTCATACAAGACCAATACCACTTAAAGCCATTCTACAGTACGTAAATGGAAAGCTCGAGATGGTGCTGGGATTGTGTACAGAATGCATTTAAGCATGAAGAAGAGTCGATTATGGTGCAAATAACAAAGCTGTGTTGAATGAAGATAATTAACTGCTGCCTCACAGCGCCAGGGACCCGGGTTCGATTCTAACCTCGGGTGACTGCCTGTGTGCAGTTTCCACGTTCTCCCAGTGTCTGCATGGGTTTCCTCCGGGTGCTCCAGATTCCTCCCACAGTCCAAAGATGCGCAGGCTAGGTGGATTGGCCATGCTAAATTGCCCATAGTGTTCAGCGATGTGTAGATTATGTGTGTTATAGGGGGATGGGCCTGGGTAGGTTGCTCTGAGGGTCAGAGTGGACTTGATGTGCCAAAGGGCCTGTTTCCACACTGTAGGGATTCTATGGATTAAGGTGAGAGTAGAGATGTGACTTAACCACAAGTCCCATGAGGCAGTCCAGAGAAAGTCTGCATAGGTAGCGGAAGCAGATAGCTGGTGAGCCAATTGTAAGTATGTAGCTCCCAAAGACCGGGATGCGATACCACAACAATTTCATAGGAACAGTTAAGGTTCAGTAAACATATCTTCAAATGCCACATCCTATCAACTACATCCTTAACCTTACATACTGCTAACTACACCACAAATCTATCCCAGCGACTAACAATAATTTCTATCAGTTAATATTTATATGTATTTCTTTATTCATTCACAGGACAAGGGCATCGCTGGCAAGGCCAGCATTTATTGCCCATCCCTAATTGCCCAGAGGGCAGTTCAGAGTCAACCACATTGTTGTGGGTCTGGAGTCACATATAGGACAGACCAGGTAAGGATGGCGGTTTCCTTACCTAAAGAACATTTGTGAACCAAAATAGTTTCTCTGACAATCAGCAATGGATTCACAGTCATCATTAGACTCTTAATTCCAGATATTTATTGAATTCATATTCCACCATCTGCTGTGGTGGGATTTGAACCCAGGTCCCCAGAACATCACCTGGGTCTCTGGATTAACAGTCCAGCAATAATACCACGAGGCCATTGCCTCCCCAATATAAATTCATAACTTGCTAATATAAATATTGTCCTTTGCCTGAGCAGAAGTGTAAATAATAGATAAGATGAAGGCATGGATGGGATTGCATCCATGAATCTTTTTATATTGCACCAGCATCTGTTTTTCCAATGTAACATGTGCACTCAACAAAGTTCAACCATGATTTTGGATGCCTGTATTAATGAAGTATTAATTCTCTTTTCACATTAGAACAGTCAGATGCTACTTGGGTTGGGTCGCAACATGAGTTTGAGGGGATGGGGGGAGGGGTGAGGGGTGAGGGGTGAGGGGTGTGGTGATGATGTGCGAATGGAGTGGAATTTTGATCAACAGGAAAGAGTGGAGTTTTAGTCAGGGTTTCCATCATGGAGTCACTTCCCACCCATCTACTTTAACTAAAGCAGCCAGATGGGCAAACAAACTATTTGTTTCAAACCAGGTAGCTGATATCTTAAATATGTCACTGAGACTACAAGTGCTTTTGTTATTTCTACTTTTTAACTTTGATAGTGGTTGATTGGTCTTTCCCATGCTTTAGGGAATCTGACACCTCCATTCAGATGAGAGATTTCTGGACTCAAGAGGTGCATGTCTTTACACTTAGTTGCTGGATCCGGTTTTCCCAGCTGGGCAACCTTCCCTTTATCAAACACTCGAACTAGATTTTGCTTATGAGGTGTCCAGCCTACCCCCAACACCAAGCCACTGAATCTTCCTATCCCCACACACCGAGGCCTTGTCTTTCTAGACATCTGTGCTCCCATGTCAGGCCTTAAAGCAGTTACATCTCAGCCCACCACACAGCAGACCATCCTTCTCTTTCCAAGTGACTGACCTTTACCAGCAAGCACTACCCCCACTGGGTCTCCAAGCTACACAACCCTCACCCTTCCACTCTGGTTTTGTGGTACATTTTCCAGGCCTTGCTACATACCTCAGGCCAGCCAATCCCTCCGATTTCCAGCCAACCTGCAAGTCTTCAATACCCCACCTGCGTTTCTGTCCTGCTCACCCCCATCTCCCACAGCCACTACAATCTCTAATGCCTCTACACCATACATGTCTATGACCAGGCCTCAAGTCCACTCCCAGGCCTCTCACTTTCCATCCCCAGCCCTGAAAAATCAGGCTGGCTTCATGCCAGGGGACTGATGGTGGTGTCATGCTCTGGTGATAAAACCTCACAGCATCTGGAGAAATCCTGACTTCAGTTTTCCACCTTAATTCACAGAACCTTGCCTATCCACCCCATCTCCTACTGACAAACCAAAGTCAACCCTGGGAGTGGTGAATGTAATGTAGGATGTTGTTGTTGATACCTTCCTTTGGTTTATTTTCTGCCTTGTGAATGAATGAGGTGTCTGTCACATTGTTCTGCCTTCCTGAGCAGCATTTCCTTCATAACGATCTGTACCTCAGCAGCAGTGAAAGTGACTTTTTTTGGTTGGTTGGTGCTGCTAAGGGAAATGTCAAAGAGTCATAAGGTCGAAGCACAACAGAGACTTTTTGGCTCATGAAATCTATACCTGTTGGAAATGAGAACATAACTCATAGAGTCATAGAGTTGTATAGCCTGGAAACAGACCCTTTGGTCCAACTAGACCAGATATCCTAAATTAATCCCGTTTGCCAGCATTTGGCTCACATCCCTCCAAACCCTTCCTACTCATATACCCATCCAGACGCTTTTTAAATGTTGTAAAGCGCCTTTACTACTTCTTCTGGCAGCTCATTCCATACATGCATCACCCTCTGAGTGAAACAAATGCCCCCTTAGGTCCCTATTAAATCTTTCCCCTCATCTTAGACGTATCTCTTCTAGTTTTGGACTCCCCTAGCCTTGGTAAAAGACCTTGGTTATTCACTCTATCCACTCCCTTCAGGATTTTATAAACCTCTGTAAGGTTACCCCTCAGCCTCTGAAACCCCAGGGAAAATAACCACAGCATTTTCAGCTTCTTCCGATAGCTCAAACCTCCAACCCCGGCAACATCCTTGTAAATCTTTTCTGCATTTTTTTTCAAGACATTGGTCATATTGAACCACTCAGGTCCTATTTTCCAGCACATAGCTCACAGCCTTGTATGCTTTGACATTGTAAGGTCTTAAATTCTGCAATATTTCTATAATTGTAAATAATTTATTTTGAACAAACTGAATTTGTTTAAAAGCCAAATTTCTGACAGGAAATTAAAGATTAAACAGACAAAAATAAACAAAGAAATTAGACAAATCACTAATTAATGTGGAAGCATAATTTGTAATGATGGAGTATTGTTTGTGTCCTTTATGCCACATGTGGAAAGGAATCTGGCCCAGTTATACATCAGCTTCATCTTTGACTTGGTACGCTGTGGCCTTGAATGATTCATTCAACATCTTGATGAATTTGTACACATCATGATAGGAATTGTAAAGAGGTACAGGAGCAACTCGTAGAACATTTGGTTCCCTCTGGTCACACTGTTGGCAAGAAGAAAACATAATCTGGGTTTTTTTACATGGATAAATAAAGTCGATAGGTTAAAAGTAACAAATAGTTTAAGAAATTGTTACAGAGATAGTAGGAACTGGCGATGCTGGAGAATCTGAGATAACAAGGTGTAGAGCTGGATGAACACAGCAGGCCAAGCAGCATCAGAGGAGCAGGAAGGCTCGGGTCTGGACCCTTCTTCAGAAATGGGGGAGGGGAAGGGGATTCTGAAATAAATAGGGAGAAAGGGGGAGACGGATAGAAGATGGATAAAGGAGAAGATAGGTGGAGAGGAGACAGACAGGTCAAGGAGGCGGGGTTGGAGCCAGTAAAGGTGAGTTAGGGAGGGGATAAGTCGGTCCAGGGAGGATGGACAGGTCAAGGAGGCAGGATGAGGCTAGTAGGGAGAAGATGGGGGTGGGGCTTGAGGTGGGAGGAGGGGATAGGTGGTAGGACAGGTGAGGGAGGCGGGTACGAGCTGGGCTGGTTTTGGGATGCAGTAGGGCGAGGGGAGATTTTGAAGCTTGTGAAGTCCACATTGATATCATTGGGCTGCAGGGTTTCCAACTGAAATATGAGATACTGTTCCTGCAACTTTCAGGTGACATCGTTGTGGCACTGCAGGAGGCCCAGGATGGACATGTCGTTCAAGGAGTGGGAGGGGGAGTTGAAATGGTTCGCGACTGGGAGGTGAAGTTGTTTGTTGCAAACCGATCATAGGTGTTCCACAAAGCGGTCCCCAAGCCTCCGTTTGGTTTCCCTGATGTAGAGGAGGCCACAACGGGAACAGCAGGTACCATGTTAGCAGATGTGCAGGTGAACATCTGTTTGATGCGGAAGGTCTTCTTAGGGCCTGGGATGGGGGTGAGGGAGGAGGTGTGGGGGCACGTGTAGCACTTGCTGCGGTTGCATGGAAAAGTGTCAGGGGTGGTGGGGTTCGTGGGGAGTGTGGAGCGGACAAGGGAGTCACGGAGAGAGTGGTCCCTCCGGAAAGCAGATAAGGGTTGTGAGGGAAAAATGTCTTTGGTAGTGGGGTCGGATTGCAGATGGCGGAAGTGTCGGAGGATGATGAGTTGCATCCGGAGGTTGGTGGGGTGGTTTGTGAGGACGAGGAGGATTCTGCTTTGGTTGTTATTGTGGGGAGGGGGTGTGAGGGATGAGTTGCGGGAAATGCGAGAGACACGGTCGAGGGCGTTTTCGACCACTGTGGAGGGGAACTTGCGGTCCTTGAAAAACAAGGACATCTGGCATGTCCGGGAGTGGAATGCCTCATCTTGGAAGCAGGTGTGGCGGAGGCGAAGGAATTAGGAATAGGGGATGGCCTTTTTGCAGGAAGGTAGGTGAGAGGAGGTGATGGTCCAGGTGAACTTAAGGTTGGGGTGGAAGGTGTTAGTGAAGTGGATGAACTGTTCGAGCTTCTCGTGGGAGCACGAGGCAGCACAGATACAGTCATCGATGATCATCTCCGATACCTCCCTCTCCTTCCTGGACATCTCCATTTCCATCTCTGGCAACCACCTCGAAACCGATATCCATTTCAACCCTACCGACTCCCACAGCTACCTAGAATACACCTCCCAATTCCTTCGCCTCCGCCGCATCTGCTCCCAAGATGAGGCATTCCACTCCCGGACATGCTAGATGTCCTCGTTTTTCAAGAACCGCAACTTCCCCTCCACAATGGTCAAAAACGCCCTCGACCGTGTCTCTTGCATTTCCCGCAACTCATCCCTCACACCCCCTCCCCACAATAACAACCAAAACAGAATCCCCCTCGTCCTCACGTACCACCCCACCAACCTCCGGATGCAACTCACCATCCTCCGACACTTCCGCCATCTGCAATCCGACCCCACTACCAAAGACATTTTTCCTTCAAAACCCTTATCTGCTTTCCGGAGGGACCACTCTCTCCGTGACTCCCTTGTCCACTCCACACTCCCCACAAGCCCCACCACCCCCTACACTTTTCCATGCAATCGCAGGAAGTGCTACACCTGCCCCTACACCTTCCTCCCTCATCCCCATCCCAGGCCCTAAGAAGACCTTCCACATCAAACAGATGTTCACCTGCACATCTGCTAATGTGGTATCCGCTGTTACTGTTGTGGCCTCTTCTACATCAGGGAAACCAAACGGATGCTTGGGGACCGCTTTGTGGAACACCTACAATTGGTTCGCAACAAATAACTTCACCTCCCAGTCGCAAACCATTTCAACTCCCCTCCCACTCCTTGAATAACATGTCCATCCTAGGCCTCCTGCAGTGCCACAACGATGCCACCCAAAAATTGCAGGAACAGCATCTCATATTTTGCTTGGGAACCCTGCAGCTCAATGATATCAATGTGGACTTCGGAAGCTTCAAAATCTCCCCTCCCCCAACCACATCCCAAAACCAGCCCAGGTCATACCCGCCTCCCTAACCTGTCCTCCCACCTATCCCCTCCTCCCATCTCAAGCCCCACCCCCATCTCCTCCCTACTAGCCTCATCCCGCCTCCTTGACCTGTCCGTCCTCCTGGAGCCAACCTATCCCCTCCCTAACTCACCTTTACTGGCTCCAACCCTGCCTCCTTGACCTGTCTGTCTCCTCTCCACCTATCTTCTCCTTTATCCATCTTCTATCCATCTCCCCCTTTCTCCCTATTTATTTCAGAATCCCCTTCCCCTCCCCCATTTCTGAAGAAGGGTCTAGACCCGAGCTTTCCTGCTCCTCTGATGCTGCTTGGCCTGCTGTGTTCATCCAGCTCTACACCTTGTTATCTCAGTTTAAGAAATTGCTAGCTTTACTAAACCACTTTCTTCTAACGTGATTGCATTCTCATTCATCCAATTGATACAAATAAAAATATCTATGAAAAAGAAATGCCAGAATGGGAATCTTGTGACACATATGGTCCTACAGGCTCATCCTGAATCACACTGTCAAGCCTTGTTGGAAGAAATAACAGAAACTGGGATGGAAATGAGAGAATGCATTATGTTTTTGGGTTTTTGGCTCATTTTATCTTGAGATTGAATTTACACAAACCAGAAAGAAGACTAAAATTAGGAAAAGGAGCAACCATTATGAAAGAAAAACATCATAAATGTAATCAACCATCTTTTGCATTTTGCTAAACATTGAATCATGTCAAGTAGTCTAAAAACTAAATCTCCAAGACTTTTGTTAAGATCAGGTGGCCAATTTGAACTTGGAGCAGGTATTTGATGGTAAGTTACTTGAGTAGTCATTACCCATTCAACAGAGGGAGCATGAAGCCACACCAATTTCGACAATCACACTGTATTTAAATATCACTCAGCCATTTTCCATTTGGAAAGGCTGCTAGCAGGAAAATATTAACTGGTTTTTGTTTCCCTACCAGCTTCCATGTAGCTAGCAAGGAGAAGGTTTTGGGGTGTTCTAACAAGAGAGAAGATGGTAATAGTTGGGCAACTCCAGAGCAGGGTAAGCACAGGTTTTCTTTGTAAGGCTCAGTGGAACGGTTCCTTCTCCTGAGTCCTGGAAAGAAAAGCATCTGATTCATTTTACGGGTCACTTCTGTCTTCAGGTCACCTCGGGACCTGCTTCTGTTTAGTGTGAAAACTGATGTAGCATTCCTAATCAGGCCTCAGTTAAACAGGTAATAATCCCTTTGGCATGACGGGACCATAATTTGCAGGAATTTGAGCCTTCTGCTTTCTTTAGATCAGCATCCTGGCTGCCTGTAAAACTGTACAGGTTAATGTGGAAGATGGACAGTATCTTAATGAGCAAATAAACTATTCATTTTTAATTGTTCAGGTTTGGCTGCGGGGCCAGAATTGACCCTGAGTTTCATTAAAGGACATTATCGTCAATCACCTCACCAGGGTGAAAATGACCAATGAATTAGCATAGCTTACAAGTTCCATCAAGAGGAACACTTCATCTGTTATCCCAGGGGTTGGAAACCTATTGCTCTGGAACTGCATGCAGCTTATTACACAGGTCTTGAAGGGCTCTCAAGGGCTACATCGATCTATCCCATTTTTTGATGATTTAAGCATCACCTTCATTTTTAAAAAAGCAACATTGTACTTGTAAGAAAATATAGTTAAATTGACTATTCTATTTCAAAAAACGCTTCAAAATATTGTTGAAATATGACTCTTTAAATTTCAGAATATTGGCATTTGAGTAACAGTATTGTCTCTCCTTAAAATACTAAATTTTTGATGATTATTTTTTTAAAATGATTCTTCGTGTTGTTAACCTTGCTGGGCCCTGTATTCTCTCATGTATTTGAACAGGTAGAATTGATTTATTTTTTTCTTTATTACCAGTGAAACACAGATTTGCTACCTGTTGTTGGGTGGTGAGTTGACAAGAACTCATTGCTTTAGTCAAAAACAAAAAAATTGGTGAAACAAACACAGACAATGCCAGAGAAACTCAGGTGGTCTGGCAACATCTGTTCTGAGAGAAACAGGGTTAACATGGTGTGACCCATATGACCATACAGTACTCAAAATGTTAACTCTACTTCTCCCTCCACAGACTGGTGAGCTTCTCTAGCATTCTCTGTGTTTGTTTCAGATTTCCGGCATCTGCAGTGTTTTGCTTTTATTAAACTATACGTGAGACTAATAAATACTTTCGTTTCACTTGTGCGAGATGCTAATGGAATGCACTGCCTGGAATTGTATTTTAACAAAAGTAATTCCTCCTTTCATGATAAGAAACAAGTAAACATGCAAAATGTCCACATTGTGATTTCTCAAAGGATTTTTAGCAAACAACCGGTGGAGTACATCACATTGCTATACCTTTGCATCAAATGGTGCAAAGTTGGGTCGAGTACTTGTGGATTGGAAGACAGGAAGTTATAATTTATTGTTTGTAAAATGCTAGGGGGGAAAGGCAGTGTGTGGTCCCTTTAAAAGATGATGTGATTTTTCTATGCTTGGAGATTTAAACAAAATATCTGTGGGCAGCAGCTTGTGGGTTTACAGGTGCATGGAGA